TAATGTGAATTAAATATATAGAAATGTGAATTAAGATGCCCTAAAAGCCTAACAAAAAATTAAATAAAAATAAAATTATTGAGACAAAAGTTGAGTCTCGCATATACAATAAATTGCAAATTTATGTTAAACCGAGCCCAGTTCTCTATTCAACCGGTTCACATAACTCGAAAAGCGAGCTATGCATGTCATATAATGAACTAGTCAGCTGAATCAGTTATAGAGACAGTTCCAATTCCAATTCCAGTTCCAGTTCCAGCTCCAGTAGGAATTTCAATTTGCAAATTGAGCAATTTTATATTTTATATAACTTTTATGAACTAGATTGAATGTTCTTTGGGAGGCATTACGAAGCTCCCCATATGAATAAAACTCTAGACTTAATATAATCTTCATATCCGACTGGTTTTAGAGGATAATAGTTCTTAAAGCATTTAAATAAAAAAATTGATTAAAAAAAAAAAAAGAAACTATAATTTATTCAAGTGCTTTTTGTGAAAGAAATATGTCTTAAAAGAATTCATTTTGCACCTTATTTAAATTACTGTAAGAACTTGTTTTACATTAAACGATTTTGATATGATTGGAATTGGAACTGGTTCGCATTGATGCAATTATGAAACGTGTAAATAATGCCTTTCAATTAGGATAATGACTTGAATCAATTTAATATACTTTTCTTGACTCCCAAAATGCACAAAATGCTTTTAATATTTAGGTCGTTGTGTTTGTCAAAGTTAATTTAAATATACGAAGGGAATTGGATTTATTTCTATATGAATATATTTAAATATAAAAGTTTGTATGAATAATGAACTATAAATATAACAAGTAAGAAAGCTGTAGTCGAGACTGCCCGACTACGAGATCCCCTGAACCCTTCGAGCAACTGATATTTCAATAATTATTCGCMCATGCACACACACACACACACACACACAGCCATACGCACGCACGCATAAACACGTATTGGATGCAGTAGTGGCTTACTATGGGAATTTAAGTGTTTAATACCTTTTCTTGTGGATGGAATATCTTCATGAAACTTTCAGATTATGAATTTAATATAGATATGCATGTATTTGCTAAAGCACAAGTCTCTAGTATTTGAAATACTCATTTTACAAATATGTGGGTGAGGGGGCGAATTAAGGGTGTGGGGTAAATTTTGATAAAAATCGAAATTCCATAAAGTACATATAAAACTACATTAAAAATTTTATGACTCTAGCTATAAAGATGTCGGAGATATACATTTATTACTGATTTTCGATAATGCTTTTAATCGATAACAAAATAATGGGACAAATTATCGATTTTTAAAGCAAAACTCGATATGCGTGTGCTATACACGGACCTAGGAAACAAAATTTCAAGTCTCTAGCTCTAACATCTTCTGAGATCGACGCGTTCAAACATACGGACAGATGGACAGACAGCTCATCTAATCAAGAATATATATACTTTATGGGGTCTGCCACGCCTCCTTCTGCCTGTTACATACATTTACAACAAAACCATGGGTTCAGGGTATAAAAATATAAATTGACTATTTAAATATCATGCGCTACTATGTTCATGAACAGAGTTGACAATATATACAAACTATTCATGGAAATATTAGTTATTAAATATTAAAACAATATTTTTGCGATGAAAAGAATATCTTGAAAGAGCAAATAGATGAACAACAATATGTTGTTAAATAACTTGAATGCTAAAACAGCTTAATGAATCGATTATATCATATATACGGGGTTGTCCATGTTCGACAGGTCAATCTGGCAACCCTGCAAGATCAAAGAAAATAAAATTTTTGTTTATATTGTCAATAATAATTATTTTCTTTGGCTTAAGCAAATTTGCTTATATAATTTTTTAATATGATATCACTCCGCCTTGAGCCTATACGGCGTACTGTGCACGGCTCTGTTAAAAGATATAAGGGTTGCCAGATGGGTGCGTCGAATATGGACAACCCCGTATCAGGTCGTGGACTAAGTAGTTTCGTTTTGTTTTCTTAGTGAAATATAAACACTATTTATTTTATTATGCAAAATATTTTATGAAATGGCTTTTTCTCCAGTTTTATCTAATACCTTTTGCCATATATGGATATAGCATATATAGTTTATAAAAATATTGAAAAATATTAGTGCCTACTTATATGGAAGACAAATCCATTTAAGATTACTGGAGCTTTTATACTATGCCATGATATAGAATTTCGCATTCAATATTGAATATACAATATATATGAAAGATTCTCAGTAATACGAAAGTCCATTTAGTGTAGTATCGATGATATAAAATTCAGCAGAGATACTTTGGTAACTTTGATAGTTCATAAAAGAACATATATATAGAGTATATACATAACTCTTATATATGGTAGAGCTTACGCTTAAGAATAGTACTTAAATTATCGGATTGGGCAAATTGTTGTAAAATTTGCACTCACAATGTCGAAGCGTGCTAAACTTTGTTCTCCTTCTCTCTTTCCATATGCTGCTATCTCGCTCGCACCATCTATGCAGCTTATAGCCACGACCATATCATCTGTGATAAGCAAGAGCAACGCGAACAGCGGCAAACACAATAGCAACAACAGCAACAACAACACCAATAGCAACAACAACAATGTGACCTCTGCTGCCGTCAGCTTTGCACAGAATGGGTATACCGCCGCAACAGCCTATGGAGCTGCCATTGACTTGCTTAAGAACAGCAACAACAACAACAACAATAACACTCATAACAACAACAACAACAACAACAATGGGAACAGCGTCAAGCATTGCAATAATATTCTCGGCTTTGCACAGGGCACATTGCTACATCATAGCGCCGCCGTTGCCATAAACCTGCTCAAGAATGGCAACAACAACAGTGGCTCGCCCACAGCATCGTCGCCGCCGCAGCAGCACAGCCCAGCAGGCAGCCCCACTGTGGGCGGCACAACGCTGACGACCCGTGGCTCACCAACGCCATCGACGCCGTCGCCGTCGCCGAGCTCCTCGTCGAGCGGCGTCTCGTCGTCGTCCTCGTTCAATGGCTCCTCATCGTCGTCCTCGTCGTCGTCCTCATCATCATCGTCGTCCAGCTCATCAGTGTCGTCCGCCTCGTCGGCCAGCTCCTCGCCGCCGGCGCAGCTGCAGCAGACGACGACGGCGCATCTGATGAGCGGCACGCGCGGCGCCAGCATCAAGTTCCATGGCGGGGCCAGCGGTGGCGCCACCATTGTAACGGCAACGGCGCCCAATGCGGCCGCAGCAAATGGTAAGCGCTCCACCGATCCACAGAATCAGCCCCTATACACATATCTATCTGAAGCAATTTGTAATCCTCTTGTAATCGCTTTCAGGGCACGGGGCGGGCTTTCATCAGACGGACAAGGATCGCAGCTACAGTTTCTTGATACGCAGCGGCACAGCGGCGCAGTAGGAGGCAACAGAATCAGCAACAACAACAACAACAACAACAACAATAATAATAATAATAATAATAAACGTAAATCAACTAAAACAACAACAACAACTGAATTGTGTGCAACAGCTCCCACCTTAAAAAAAAAAAAAAACTGAAAAAAAACAAAAATATAAGAAATTAAAGAAATGAAAAGGAAAAAGGAAAATGAAAAGTAAACAAAACAAGTAGACAAGCGTCTTGTACTCAACTCTATGTTTATTCGATTTCTGCCATGCAACAACAACAACAACAGCAGCAACAACAACAACAACAATCGCACACAGCAGCAGCAGCAGCAGCAACAACAACAGCAACAAGCATAACAGTTCCGCCCAACATTCAAGCATCGATATTGAGAATCAAAAACAAAACAAAAAAACTATAAAAAGTAAAGAAACAAACAAAAATACATATTTAAACAAAAGAGAAAATTATTTTTAATAAATAATTTTATACACACAAAGCAAATTAACAACACAACAACAACAAGATGAAGAAGAAGAAGAAGAAGAAGCAGATGTAGAATACCGCAAACAACAAATGCAACTAGTGGGCTACAACAGCAACACACACACACCCACACACACATATGTACACACACACACACACACACACACGCTGAGAGAGAGAATCGCACATTTTAAACACAAAGAAAACATATTATATAAGATCTATTATATAT